TTGTTTTCAAGTTCTGTTTCTCCAATGACACATGGACCTTAAAGCGGAGTTGTCAGAAAGATGTGAAACTAATTTGCTCTAAACAAGTCTATCATGCCAGCTGGCCCTGTCAAAAGACTACCACAGCCTCCTGCTGAGCTGAGACACCAACAAGGCTAATGAGAGTATTTATTTCAAAGCAGATGCCTCTAGAAGCTCATTGCAAGTCAAGGAAAGGCTAGCTCGATCCCCATCCAATTATGTTCTCCTTTGTAGCCCCCACCCTTTACTTAAATCAGGAAATCTTTACTGATTGATTGAGCAGAATTGGATTGTCATTCAACAATGGTAACTGATGTTTACCAAAAGCTGGTCGGTCCCACACTAAGAGTTCAGGTTACACAGACAAAGAAGACAAGAAAAGGACATGAATAATTAGAAGCACATTTTGGAACCAATGTAAGCCTGATTCAAAGCCAGATTCAGGCCTGCCTTGCAAGCACAAGGACCCGAGTTCAATCCCCAGTACCAAAAAAAAAAAAAAAAAAAAAAAAAAAAAAAAAAAAAAAAAAAGCCAGATTCAGTTTCTAACTAGCCATACAATCTTGAGCAAGATATTCAACTTCTCTGACCCCTCTTTCTTCAGTTAAACATGGAATAACAATGCCTACTCCATAAGGCATGCCCTGTGGGTGACATAAGATGATGTACATATCTGCCACCTTGCAGGTACACATCAAATGTGAGTGACCTGTCCTTTCCCCTTCACAGAAACCAGTATCTCAGGCAATTATTATAGCCTAAAATTAGTGTTATAACATATACATAATTCTGGGGAAGCATGGTGAAAGGAGGGAATTGTTCTATTCAATAGAGAAAGGGAAAAGGAGTTGCTCCCAATAAAGGAAGAGCAGGAGTTGACCAGGGAGACATTCAGTACAGGAAAGAGTGTGGAAAAGCAGCACAGTCCTACACCTAGCTTCATTCTGTCTGCTCCCAGATGAGGTAGTGTCTAGGCCCTGAAGTTAATATAGATACAAAACAATCTTCTTCGGTGACAGATGACTGACATTTTTATTTCTGTGCCGTACTAGAGAACGTGCCTTTTCTCTCAACCAGAAATATGAAAATAGTCCAATTTGCAGCTAAATTAATGCTGAAAATTGAAATGTGTTGAATTACAAAGTTCTGATTCTAAGAAGAATGTCAAGTGAGTCTCATCCCCAACACATGTGACACATTTTGGAATATATTTTAGATGGAGTTTGATGCTGTTAAATTGAGACATATGTATAACCTGAGAGTGATACAGCTGCTGTAGGAAAACTTGGAATCTCCTAACATTCTTACATCCATAATTTCATGATCTTAAGAACTTAAGACTCCCAGAATTCCAGAATGTTAGTACTATAGAAGACCCAAAGAGTTCCAACCTCCACATCTCCTAATTGGAGACACTGGGACCCATGGCACAGAAAATGACCCATTCAAGACCATATATCTAAATCCTTAATTTCTGACACTGAAATTTAAGACTCCTAAGCTTCCAATCTAGTATTCTTTCTCTTGCCCTAAAGTTACTCCTGAGCAGCTGCTATAGGCTTAGGATAGGCTCTTGTCAAATTGTTTGCTTCAGTGTTAGATATTCATTTTGAAGAGGATTCATTCCCTTTGGGTCCAACTGGTTGACTTTAACAAGGTCAACATTAAAATACTCCAGGTTTTGACCATTTCCCAATACCAGGACCTTGAAGATGATAGAATGATAGAATCTTAGAGTAAGAAAGGAATTTTAGAGGGTTATCTGGTTTGACCTCATTTTTACCAAAGAATTATCTTCCTGGAACATATCAAGTGGTATGTTCATTTCTCTTAAGGCAATTTATGCCGTTGTTTGGACATAACTCCAAATTTCATGAAGCATAAATGTGTTTCTCCATCTAATCTGTCTATTAAGAGAAGGAAGGAAATGGTGCTCACTTACTGAGCATAATTGGGTATCACACACATGTGAGGACCTTGGATAAATTACCTCACTTGACTTTTAAGACACCTCTATAAAGCAGATGTCATTACAGGTTGCATATCTTTATCTAAATTGTTTGGGAATAGAAATGTTTCTAATTTCAGAGTTTTCCTGATTTTGGAATATTTGTATAGATTTTAGTGGGTGAGCATCCCTAATCCAAAAATCTGAAATCTGAAATAATATACTCCAAAATCTGAAACTTTTAAACATCATGTTAGTGCTCAAAAATTTTTAAATTTCAGAACATTTTGATTTCAGAGTTTCAAATTAAGGAGGTTCAACCTACATCTCAATTTACAGACTGAAAAATAAAATGTTCATCTGTGACAAGTGGAGGGCCCAACCCACAAACTCTCTAGTATGCTGTTTTCTTGCCTTGTCTGCTTCTTGTGTCTATTCAATACAGCCCCGTCAGCATTCTGCTCCAGGGCTCTTCTTTTTAAAAAAAAATCTCCTGCTTAAATGCCTCTGATGGTCCTTCAATATCCACTCGAAGTAAGTAGTCCAAACTCTTTAGCTTAATAATCAAGACCCTTGACAATCTGGCTCCAAGCAGACTCTACAGGATCACTCTCCTATTCTTCCAGAGCACCCAGGCTTCCTGTGAGGTTGCTTTTCTGTCTTTTAACACAGTATACTTGCTGCCTGCACACCTTTCCCCTATCTCTCTGTCTAAAGAAACCTTGGCTTCCCTTTAAGATCCACTCAAGTGTCACCTCCTTAGTGGAGCCTTCCCCAGTCTCTCTAGGCAACATGTGTTTCTAGCACATTCTCCATGTCTCTATAGGAGCTTCTTTTGCATTGTCATGATCCTATGTGGTCTAAGATCCTAAGACAGGGGTTATATTTAATTTTTCTTTGCATTCCCAGTTCCTAGCACCTAAGAGGTGTTCCACTGATATTCATGGAATAGAAAAGGCTTAATCTTTTCCCACTTTAGCCCTTCAGTTATTTCAAGATCCCTCTAAGGCCTTTCCTACCCCACCCTATTGCTAGTTATTACTTCTCTGGGGTAAATATTCCCCACTCTTTCATCTGTTTTTGGTAAAGTCTGATTTCCAGATTCCTTAACTGGTCATTTGCTTCTGGGTGCTGATTGGTGAACATCTCTCTTTTAAAACATGATACCCACAACAAAATTTAATGGTCCAGAGAAACTCTGGCTACAGCAGAACAAAATGAGAGGATTCTAATCTGTTTTGGAAGAAATACTTCCTTTACAATTACCACATGCCAGAAGCCTCTGCCTCCCTTATTGTCTTTCATTCTTTAATAACCTGGTAAGGTAGGTGTTATTTTTGCCATTTTATAGAAAAGGATACCAGCTATCTGGGTAAGGCACTTTAAGAGGAGGTTAATTTAAAGTCACAAGCCCTGAGCACAAAATGAGCTTGTGTTCAACTAATACATTAGATTATTTTTAAATCAACTGCTGTCAGGTTAAGATTTTTTTTTTTTCAGTTACCAGCTAGTGACAGATTTAAGGGCAACTGAGGACAGAAAGAATCAGTACCTTTAGAAGGGTGTGAAATCAAAGCACAAGAAAAGGCATGTTGGATTAATGGCCAGTTTCCTAACAATAACAGCCTTTATCTAGGTCTAGGAGCTTACACCAAGCCTGGAGTTTCTCAACTACATAGCTTCCTGGAACAATTTTTATTTAGTATAAAAGGAGAAAGAGCAGAAGCATCTTAGATAAACAATGAGCTTTAGAAATCAGCATGTCTCTGCAAAGTACTCATACCATCAGAATACGGATAGCCACTAGAGCACTGTATTACAGGGTAGACGATAAAGAGGCTGTCTCTTTGGCCTGTGGAGTGGATTTGAGAGGGACCCACTGTGCACACTTGATCTACAAATGTTGACTTAACAACAGCTATGTTCCATGTATGAGGTTCTGGAGATATAGTAGAGGATACAGAGAAATTTCCCATCCTCTGGAGCTTACAGTTATACAGCAGCAAATGATGTGCGCGCATCCTAGTAAGTGCGCTGATGAAAGTACGTCCCAGACTACTAGGAGAACAAAAGGAGGGACTCTTACTCCACCTGAGGTGAGGATGGAAGAGCAGGTATCAGAGGAAGTTGCCAAGAAGGTATTCTTAATTGACAAGTAGGAGTGAACCCAGTGAAGGTGGAGGAATAGAAATATGAAAGAAGAGAAAGTTTTAGGTATGAGCAGAACCTCAAATACAAGAATAGCATGTCCTCATAAAGTGTGAAAAGATTTACAAGCAGTTCAGTGTTTAAAGTTCAAGAGACTAGGGAGGTAAACAAGATCACCATCATCATCATCATCATCATCATTTGACTTTGAGTAACTTACTGCATCCTTCTGGGCCTTATTGGAAATACGAGGACTAGTGAATTCTAAGGTCTTAACATCAGACTCTGACATAAATGAGTGGAAAGGCATTCAAATTTATGTCTGTCTACCATTTTTGCAAGAACATCATTGAGGTTGATTGAATGTCATGGCCCTTCATTCCCAAGTTACAAGCAGAGTGTTCAAGAGGATTCCGTGATACTTAAAAACATTTAGTAAGCATATAGTATGTGTAGGATTAAAATCATTGTCTGGCAGGGTGGGCTGGCAAGGGTCAGATGTTAGGAGAGAGCTGTAGGGTAGAGCAAGACTTCTGGAAGGAGATGGCAAGTGTGATGGGCCACAGGATCCTAGTGTTGAAGGGGAGACTGAGCAGGAGTATTCCAGGCAAAAGGAGCAGCAAGAGCCTGACAAAGTTAGCCAGACACTACACTTCTGCCCCATCCATCTGCCATCTCCATCCCTGTCCATCCTCTGCCCACCCTCCGCCTCCCTTCAGATTCTCAGCTGATACTTGAAATTCTTCATAAATAAACCATAGTTAAGCTTATGGCCCCATGTCTCTCCTATCTTCTGTATACAGACCCCTTGCTCTAGCCACACAAAACTACTTGCCTTTTCTCTTCTTTTTCCTTTCTTCTCCTCTTTCTCTCCCCTCCTCCAACCTCTTTTCTCTTCTCTTCTCCTCTCTTCTCTTCTCCTTCTCCCTCTTCATTTGTTCTTTCATTACTGACCTTAGGGAGCCCTGAAGCAGCAAAGAAGCCACAAAGGTCAAAGCCCAGGAGGCATGAAAGGGAGACATCAAAATCAAGAAGATCAAGACTTTATGCACGTATTTCAATTCTTCCATCCCCTCAAGTTTCTCTAAGCACCAAAAGCCATCTCTGCAATTTCCTTCACCAACTATCCCCCTGAGTCATCAAAGATTCAATAAAAGTAAAATACTATTCCCTCAATTGTCAGTGACAGAATAATTATTCCTTTCTGCTGTTCCTTATGTGGGGGACTTTGCAAGCTTTAGTTTCTTAATGAATACATAAAATAGCAGATATGGGATTTCCAGCATCCCTTCTTTAAAAAATAAGATTACATCCTGATTAACTTGCTCCTTCTCATCTCTCTTCATTGCCTCTACTACTCTCCATTGCCTCAACTTCTTGTATTCTCTCCATTGCCTCTACCTGTCACCCAAAGGGCAACAAAATCTGTCATAGCCTAGTTCTGCTATCTGCCACTTGCTTTTGAAAGCTTATCCATCCCACGTGTTTTAAAAGTACAAACATTAAACAATTAATAGTATCTATGATGTGCTATGAGCTGGGATACTAAGTGGCATACAAATAAAACTAGTCTTACTTAAAAGACTACAATGTGATACATGTCATACGCAGATATTTATCAACAGGGCAAGGAACAATTAACTTCCTGAGAAGTGTCAGAGGAGTTTTAAGCTAGACTCAGAAGCAAAATGATACTTGCAAACCCATGTTTATAGCAGCATAATTAATAATAGCTAAATCTTGAAGGTGGTCTATATGTCCATCAACAAATGAATGGATAAAGAAAATGTGGTATTTACACACGATGGATCACTAATCTGCCATTAAGGATGAACTTGTCTTATGAAGGAAAATGGATGCATCTTGAGACCACAATATTAAATGAAATAATCAGACACTCAAGCTTAAATATTGCATGGTTTCTCTTATACAAGAAACCCCAAAATATAAATACAGAGCAAAATAAACGATAGATGATAGGAAATGAGGAGATGGATCTTTTGAAAAAGGGAAGGGAACCAAGAGATGAAAGGAAGGGAATGAGGTGGTGGTAGTGGGGAATGGGGATGAAAAAACAATTAAGACTTGCTATGTACATGTACTAACTCCCCACAAAGAATGTAATCATTATGTACTGCAAAGATGTACTAATAAAACAAAAATTTAATTTAAAAGAGAGGAATAGATCCAAAAGACAAGATATACACTTTTTTAAAAAAGCAAACATGTAGGAATGCCTCCTGCATGCCAAGTTTTGTCTCAAGCATTGGAGCTGTAGACAAGGCATTTACAAATGAACCCAAATAATGGCAATACATACATGTACTTACTATGGAGACAGTTACAGAGCAGAGTGCCATAGGAATTCACAGAGAAATATTTAAGAAACCAATTCTCACTAGGTATAGTAGGCAGAATTCTAAGATCAACCCCTAAATTCCTGGCATCTGGTGTACACCTCCTATGCAATTCCTTGGATAGTGACTATGATGAATTTTACTCCTTATGGTTATGTGGTATGGAATGGTTGGCTTTAAAGATGAAAGATTATCTGGGTGGGCCTGACCTAGTTACATATGTTTTACAAACTCAAAATATTCTCTAATCGGTTGAAGAAATCAGATTCAAGAGATGAGAGGGATTCCGTGTGAAGGAGGTACTCTGTTGATGAAACAAAGGGACTTTGTGGCAAGGATCTTAGGACAGTCCCCAACTGACACTGAGCAAGGCAGTGGTTACTTAAATCCTACAATCACAGAGGAATGACTTCTGCCAACAACCTGAAGGAGGTTAGGGCAGACTTTCCCCTCACTGAACCTCTGAACACTTTAGTTTCAGTATTAAGACACTCTGATCTAAGAAGCTCACCACACTGTGCCAGATTTGTGTTGTTTTTAATATGAAACAAAAAAGATAACTTAATGAATACAAGTTACTAATAGTTTAAATCTTCTATGTACTCCTTCCTCGCTGATGACATTCTCATCCCCTAGAGATAGTCACTATCCTAAATTTGGTGTTTATTTTTATACATATCTTTTTTCCATTTGTTTGGTTTGTTTGTTTGTTTGTTTCTGCAGTGCTGCGGATTGAACCTAGGGCCTTGCACACACTAGGCAAATGATCTACCACTAAGCTACATCCCCAGCCCTTCATGCATATCTTTACATTTTTACCAAGTATGCTCCGCAACAAAACTGGCATTGTTTTATTTTAAAACTTCATAAGTGGCATCATGCTGTTTATCTTATGCCCCATCGTAGTGCAATACAAAGGCAGCTATAGAAAGCCTGGTTGACTTACTGTAAACTTTTCCATATAATTTCCCTATGCCATGAACTATTACTCTTCTTTGGATTTTTCTTTCAACCATTTAAAGATGTAAAAAATATTCTTAGCTCCTAGGCAAGAGGGGTTAGATTTGGTCCAAGGATCATTGTCTGCCAGTCCTGTAGTTTGTCACTTCTATCAATATTATCATATTAAATTGAAGCTGAGAAAGTTTTAAATATTTATTCATTGAAAGTTATAATAACAAAGCCATTACACAAAAATAATTATATTTTCTTAAACAAAAAAATAATGAGAAGAGCTATGTTTTGACATTTGTGCAAATCTCTCAACACCTGGCTTAAATGAAGACAGCTGCGTTCTAAATGCTATATCTGCATTTATTCTGTTGTGATATCATATGTTCTGTGGAAAGCTTCACTGTGCACTCTGAATGAGAGTGGAAAACGCAGATAACGTTTAATATTATTAGGAACAAATTTTTTAGTATAATGACCCTTTCAAAGGATCTCGGGGGCACCCAGGGGCCCCAGGACCACACTTTGCAAACCAGTGACAGGGGATTTATTTCAGTGGTTCCGCTGCCTGCCTTGCAAACACAAGGTCCTGAGTTCCATCCTTGGTACCCCCCAAAAAGTAAACCTGGAACTCCAACTAGGCGTGCAAGTACCTCCTTCCACGTTCTGGCTTCCTTTTCCCCCCGCTAACTTCTGCAGCAGCACCACTTTGTTTTCACGTACTGCGGCTGCACCCGCGCCCGCCACCTCACGTCAGTCTTTGTACTCAATCTCCCGTCCACCTCAAGAGAGCTTCCCCTTCAGACTCCTTCAAGAGCCAACTTGAAGTGCTTGGCTCGGAATGTTCCTCCTTGGAGCGCTCGGCACAGAGCTGACCACTCCGGCAGGCAGAGCACAGGCTCCAATCTCCGCTCGGTCATTTCCTAGCTGTGTGAGCTCGAACGAGCGGCGTCACTTCCCTGAATTTAGCTTCCTCCCTACACAAACGATGTGACAGTTCAAGAATCGTGTAGCGCAGAGGTCAGTAAGAGGGGCCCCATGCCCTTGCCTGGCTCACCCCGGCTCAAGGAGGACTGAAAAAGATGAACCCAAGCAGAACCCGCTTCGCGCTTCAGGTCGCCGGCACCCGCTGCTGCGGTAGCTTGCCGCGCGCTGACTTCTAGTCTCCTCACACCAATCCGCCAGGTTAAGCGCCAACTTATCAGAGAAGTCGGCCCCGGCGAGGAGGTGCCCAGTAACTTGCTCAAGCTCACCGCAGAGTCAGATTCTGGCAGGACCCGGACGTAGAGCAAACTACGCGTGGCGGCGGGATTCGAACCGGAATCCTAGGAGACATCAGTTTACCTAAACGA